GAATTCGAAAGGAATTCTTTTTAGATTTTCTGGAAAATGCAATTTTTATATTCTACATATTTTTGTTGCAAAACGAACAATTTCTATATAATTTACACAATAAGGATTCTACAGTACTGTTTCCCCCAAAATAGTATTTTTATTTGAATTTTTTCAACCATATATTGGAAAAATACCACTTTTCTCGAGGGAAAAAATATCAAGATTGCTCCCCACGAAACGCAAACATTTTAAATGTCGGGCCACTCCGTCGTGTGCGCCACTGTCAGAAATTGAACGATCGTCTTTTTCTACCCTTGGAAACTGAAGCTATCTTTGGACTTAACACGTCTCCTCCCAGGATAGCTATCCTTCAGGTTTCCATCCCGTTAAACGAGATCGATTCGATCTCGAGTCATCCATGATTTCTCGCATCTATTTTTCCATGTACACGCGCAAATCGATGTGTGTACTTTATGTGCGCATGTGTATCTTCTGTCGCTTTGCTAAAACTAGTCGAAGATTGCAAACACGTTAATCCAAACGTCAGATATCTCGTAGGGTGAAGGATATGCGGCTGGGTGTCTGTTATTTGCCCAAGAGAATTGACCGCGCGCCGCCACCCTTGCCCCGTTTCTTGGAAATCGATTTGTGGGTACAACGACCCCAAGAAAAGCGGAGATCAATGTGCCATATAATTGCCATGGTACTGTAGTTCGTGCAACTGGATCGTTTGCACTGTAGGACTCGCCCACTCGCATGGATTTTCCGCCGAGAGTTTGATCGTGGATTCTTATTGTTCCGATTGTTCTGATTGACCGTGAACGTTCGCGAAATTATGCTCTGTGAGCACATTATAGTGTTGGATTCTTTAGTTTTAACGACATCAAGTCCTGAAACAGAAACTTTAAAAAGTGGATTAATTGGATTTATACGTTGGAAAATATTGTTAATAAATAAAACCGAGCTGAAGATAGATAAAATATTATTTACGCTTTAAGAACTAATTTAGTGGACTTATTTATTACGAACTTATTAATCAATTTTCACTCGAATTGCACGCTGACAGGTTGAAAATTGTTGAGAATAGATATATCGTATTATCTATAGAGAAATGTATAAAGCTTGAAAGCAAGAATTAATATTTTAATGAAAAAGATATTAGTGAACCGTTTTTAATTTTCTTTTAATCTTATTAGAATTAATATTTATAAGTCTAAAATATTTTTACATAAAACTTAAAACATATAAACATATTTATCCAGAGAACTTCTTTCATTAAACTTAAAATACATAAAACTTTAAAAAATGGCACAGACTGATATTCGAAGTTGATTAAAAAATGGCATTAACGTTCGTGAACATTTATAATATCTTTTGTAATTAGTTTTTGTGACAAAATGTACTTGCTTATCTCTAGGATTTCTGACTTATAGTGGAAGTAAATACGAATCTAACTGTATGGATCTGAAGTTACTCCCTGAATGCCGGAAAGAGTCGATATCGGTGATTCTCCGTATTTGTGCACGTTGATTAAAATTGGATCGCGAAAACGTTTCTTTGACCGACGAAACACTGTTCACCGGAACACTGTCTGTCCTGCTGTGGTTTTAGTCTATGATAAAATCTACTTATGCTATTTTCTGATTGCTTAGATCAGAAATGACCGTTTACACAGCTGGTGTGCATAGCTTGCAAGAGATACACAAACAATCCCATAATAGAAACTTTGGAAATTCTTTTGTATCTTGTCTCTTAACACTTTGTCGTGTTAAAAATTTGGAGGAAAATTATTTGTCCACTTTTAATATCACATAAAATGCAGATATAAATATAAATAATAAATAATAATAAGTAAAATTTACATGAACATATAAATTTATAAAACAACGTGTAAGAAGGAAAAGGTTCTGCAGTTTTATATAATTTTGTCAGATCAGTTTTATTAATTAAAATTATTTACACAATTGTATTTGCAACTAGTCCGACGATGTAAATTTGAAAAGGCATCAAATTAAATAAGAGCGCTTGAAATTAACACATGTATACACACCTATTACATGCGACAAGATTCCAAACGACCATCATGAGACGTTACCCCAGATAAAGACGTTTCTTGTTAGATAATGTTTGCGGACTTCCTGATTAAACATTGCGGTTCATTTAACAGTACTGATTACGTGTATTAGCTGTGAGGCTAGACTAGCGATTTTCATGTCAAAGGTGCATCTGGTACGTTACAAGGAACATAAGGTCCGCGCTCGATCGTTAATAGGATCTCGTCTTAAGAGGGGCTTCGGTTAAACTCCAAACCTCCATACTCCTTTCCGCTTCTTGGATCTCCCGTTCGTGTCGCGTCTTGACAAAATGTTTACGCAATATTTATAGCATCCTTCGCTCAAGGAGCATTCGGAAATTATTATCTAATGGTATATTTTGAGAGCGCGGCCTTCCTTGAACTTATTATCGAATGTCTGCGAACAGTACTTCTCGTTTTATTGGTTGGTCTAATAAAATGATAAAATCGATAAGAACATTTTAGCACACGCTGTAAATTTTATATGTATTTTAACGAGAATCTGACGAATCGAACGACGTGCTAAGCGTTTAAATAGCATTTGTTCTTGACGATGTTATGAGCACTTGACTCACTATATTCGATATTTACGTGAATATGCATCGAACGTGCGCACGCACTTGACAATATTGCCTGTCCCTTTATCACGTATTTATCGAGTTTCGCGATATTTCATGCCATAAATGTCTTGCGATTTCTAATAAAAAAAAGCGACGACTTGTCCCAAACATTTATACGCAGTTAAATCTCTGTATTTTAGCAAAAATTTAATTATATCTTTAATTAAAGAGCTTTTGGTATCTAAAATTAAAAAGGATTTTAACGAATTAAGTAAACATGTAAACAGATAAATAGCCTTGATTAATTGTCAATTTTATGAGCGCATTTAATTTGCAATGTAGCTATCAATTTTTAATATTAAAAGGCAAATATATGGTAGTAAATAAATGAAACATATTAGAGAGAGAGAGAGAGAGAGAGGGGGGGGGAGAGAGAGAACAATATAAAATTAGTAAAATATATAATAATATAATAAGTATTCGGATAGCTGTGAAATGTAATGGGTTTGTCGATGATGTCGAAGACTTTTGCTAACAAAATTCGACTATGGTACGAATGGATCACGCAGAGACCATGGGTGAATAACGGGGAGGGAGGGAGGGGGAGGGAGGAGAGAATGACGTCACGCATGTTAGAACGCAATCCTCTGCCTCCGCATCCCCCCCCCCCCCATGACGTCGCATAGCACTGATTCCACGCACGCCAAATCAGGTCAATCGGTAATATTGAACGCATTGGTTTCCGTAGGAATTGGAGAATATTCGTTTACTAGTGCTCCTCTTGTTACACATTCGCAGATATTCGTTGCATGATCCTGCTATGCAGCCGATAACATTTCGATGAAACCTTTTTCACGCGTATACATACGTATCTTTTGCCATAAACCCCGATCGTTTTTTTTTATCGAAATGTTGTTTTTTTTGTCAGTTAATTATGTCTCGTGATGGATTTCGTTCATTTTATTGCATTGCCACAGATTGTGTAATATGCCGCAATCCTCGTTTGGGATTACTGTTGCTTACATTTATATGCAACACATACACATTACTCCTGTAGAATAAACAAGACGATGGACCATTTTTATAAACTTAAAAATTAGGCTAATTAAGTGATCTTCGATTGTTATTTACGGACTGAATTTTTTCCTACTTTTTAAGTTAACATGTTTCAGGATTTTTATTTGCTATTTATTTCCTTATCATTTAGTTGCTATTTTTTTCATGTACTGTTTGTTACCATTTAGGTATTTAAAAAAGTACGTACTGGATACTGAAAGGTTGCCTCACAATACAGTGAACCCGGTTTCTATCTTCCATGTTTTACATAAAAATAATATACATTACTTTTAGGAGCAAAGTCTTTGAATTTGGATAAAATTAAAACACTCGTTTAATCAGTGCGACGAGAGGACGTGTGTCGCAAAGCGCTTTAATCAACAAGGTAGCGTATCGGTATGCAACATATGCGTTTGTTAATCGCACTGTGTCGGAAATGTACGAGTTAGGAAGCTTTTCTTCTTTTTTTTTTCGCGACGCGACTTTTGTCCACCGACGTGCTCACGTCGCGTCGTCGGCGTCATTAACGATGTCTAACGAGCCCAGACCGGAGAGCTTGGGTGGAACAATACCACTCGAAAGTACATCCATATGAGAGTAAATGGTACATACGACGGAGACAAGTAACCGCGCGCGTTTCCGGTCGTATAATATGACTGTCGGCGTAGCGACGCGTGCACAAGTGAACTTTCACGACGACCGTCTGTTTCTTGTTAATATTTTGAGTGCAATTCGTAATTGCCGAAATTGTCACTGTCCTAAAAACCGCTTCATCGTTCGAGATCGCTCCTATATTCAGACAGTCATATCGTCTTTAATAAACTAGATGAATTTCAAGCTAAAAATAATTATCTTAATACGCAAAGTATAATTATCTCTCTAGCTCTATGGTAATTATAATTTTACAATAGTTATTATTACTAATTTCTATTTTATAATTCTTCTCGTTCTAATCTCGATAAAATTGAAAACGATCTATACACTGAGAAAAATTTTCGTCGGATAAACCAATTAAATGGTGTTTCCGATGGTTAATTTTTCCGATTAAATTTCCGATAAAATTATGGATACAACCGATGAAATTTATCCGATGAAATGTAGTTACCGATAAAATTGGAAAAACCGATGACATTTTTCATCGGATGTACAATTTGATTGGATATATCCGTTTGTTATTAATCGGACATTTTTCTCGGTGCAAAGATAAAGGATTTAAAAGAAGAGAACGCGATAAAGTGTTAAAAATTACCTAAACCTATTTCTAATATTTTGTTAACAACGAAGATCACTATACCCTTAAAATAATTATGTGCTATTTCGTGTTACAGAAACAAAGCATAATGGTCCGTCAACTGGAAGAGGAGCTCAGAATGAGGATGCGCGGGCCGAGCGTCGAGATGCAGCAACAAATGGAAGTTTTGTACAATGAGAACGAGCACCTGACTCGCGAAATTGCCATACTTCGTGATACGATAAAGGTGAATGTTAACGTCCAGATTCGCAGATTATTTTACGGCGCATCAACTGTTTCTAGCAGTCCTTTTTACTGCGCGGCGCAATATTATCCCCGTAAAATGTGCTGTAATCCAGTGTTTTCTACGTGTTTCCGTGGTTGAGAATTTTTCCGAGAGAAAACTAATTTCCGGCCGCGCGGTTTACGAGATTAATTTTAATCGGCGCGACTAGGCCGGTTTTCCACGTCTTACGTTGAAAACAATTCAGTCTCGGCCCCGAAGTAGAATGGCGCACGCTATCGGGAAGATTGGAACGCCGCCGGAATAATCGCGCCCTCGAAGGAGGATCCCATTATACCCCGGGAATAATAGGGATAAGTGCGGTAAATGGAAGTAAAACGGAGGAGGGACTCTTGAGGGGGTCGATGCGTGAAAGAGCCGCAGACGCCTCACAGTCTGTCTTTCTCACCTTTTTCTTGTTTTCTCCTTTCTCGCCGACAGCCCGGTGAGTTTCCCTGACATTTGTGAAAATTTTCGCGCGGCTGCCAGGTATATTGGACCTCGCGCTATCTTCCTATCTTCCGCCACCGCTGCGGACGTCTGTCACGTACACCAACATTCCGAACGTATTCAAGAGAAACGCGTCAGGCCTGTCCGATTTCTTCCACTCGAATATTCTGAGTCTTTATAACGACATATCTATTTAATTTGTAATACTTTTATTTATTCTACAGACGTCAGTGTGTCTGTGCAATATTACGCAATAGTTTGTAAGTAAAGATGGACGTAGAGGTAAAACGGTAGACATTTGGTAGGAATTTTTTCATAGCAATTGATTGTTAAAATTTTTATCTTTTCCTGTTCGTTCGACAATAATTACACGTACAGTTGCTTTCGCTGATAGCACATCACTAATTTGGTAATGGTACACTGAAAAAAATTTCTGGTTGAATATGGACGAATCAGATAATTCCTTTAGGATTTACCAGAATTTCTGTAGGATTACAGGAATTCTGGTAAATCCTAAAGGAATTCTGGTAAATCCTAAAGGAATTATCTGATTCGTCCATATTCAACCAGAAATTTTTTTCAGTGTAGTGTTATCGGAGAGGACGATTTCGTTTTACTCGTAATTAATTTGTTCATCTGGCGAAAGCGCGCGAACGTAAATAAAATAATCGCGCTCGCGAAATAATCCGTTCGGCGGTATACGCCCGTGGTTTATCGACTCCTCGTACAGCATACTGCTGTGCTCGCAGACCTGAAATAGACGAGGGGGTTTAGGTCGCGTTCGAGGTAAACGACCGATTGTCTACACGATCTAGAATGCTTCCGGAAATCTTGGCAGCACCGCGAATATCAACCTAATCGCAATAAATTCGTTAAGTTTACCACCCGCGGCGTGGAAAACAAACGTCGGCGCGTGTGTAACGTCGAATCGATACACGCAGGCACGCAATCGGTGTGTTACGTTCCACTCGTTTATTAAAAGCAGCGTGATAAATCTTTCCTAGAAATTTTTTCTTACACCAAGGAAACATTTAATTTTTACCCCGGGATAAATAGTCGGCGGTAGAGTCGATTCACGCGCGGACGCGGCAACTTGCAGGAACTCGGAGATATATTGCTTCAAGAAATAATCTAATCTCGCGGAAGAAACGGAGTGAGCACGACCGAAACGTCGCAAACGGGTCAAATGTACAACGCACGGGAAGCAACTGGTCGCCTTTGGCCATTCGCCAGTTTATGCACCCGGTTTCTCGTCCCTCGGTAAATTTTCATTATCGATTCCGACGACCGAGTCGATCGAAATCAGAAACTGAGTGTCTGAGATACTTGATGACAATACAGTGCTTTCGCTTGATTATCCCGTAACTTGGATTCAATATGGGACTTTTTAATGCCACTGCACTATGCATTAAAATTAACGGTTCTCCGCTAGCGATAGCGCGATGCTATTCCGAGATCAAACGGGCCGGCAGTATGTGTTCCTTTTTTGCAGTATACTACAATTGACGCATTTACAACTGCGAAAGTTCACGGAATTTTCATCGAGGGCGTTTAATTGAATTAATTATCGGCTGTCGATTGACCGCTCGAACGTAACATTCAGGAATTCTCGCATTTCCTGATCGCGCGTTGCTATCTGCTCGCAGGTGATATCGCACGCGAGCTTCCTCTTGTACATCAGGAAAAGCGTCGGCAGACGGCCAGCAGCGGGTGTCTAATTCCAGACTAATTACTTTCCCGCCGTCAAAGAGACGTGCTAAATTCGTTATGCGGGCCCCCGGGCGATGGCTACTATCCATCGTTGACGCGGTCAACTAAAATCAAACGTATGAGATAGCTGTCGTGGGGCTCCATAGTTTTCATACAAATAATACCGTACAAGATGCGCGCGATGAAACTCTATAAAAATATTTTGCGCTATTTATATTTCGCAGTAAATTTCCGTTATCCTATTTGAAATGCTAATCTTCTTTTAAAATAAGAGGACAATCCGCCGGCATGACGACGAGTTAAATCTCTCTTTATTCAATTTTAAAGATTAAGCTTGGCGCATTTTTAGGAGGAAGTAATTTATGTGTTCGCAAGAGCTAATGATAATTGTTTAAGGGAACTCTTTATTAAAGAGAAAGCGAGTAGTTCGGAAATTTGTTTTTCGACGAATCAATTTCTAAATTATTTACAAATAGAATTGCATTTTGTATGAAGAAATGAAGAGTTCATAAATTTATGCCGATATTTTTCTAACGTTCGTTGTTGTGATGTAGTGTGTTGAGGCTACCTAAGCTATGTGATCCCGGTAGTACGCAGATGCTGAAATAATCTCGTAGGCTTAATATAGGCAGTAGTATTTTGAGCGCAACTGAGTAACGAGTCCAATTATCTCTAATAAAGTCCTAATTTTGACATTCCACAGCAGATTAAGTTTTATGGTGGTTTTTGCGCCTAGCTTGTATCTTTTATGTATATTTAATGAATTTAATAATACGGTGTGATATACTTTGAAGATAATTACGTGGCACGATAAAGTAAATCCGAAAATATTTAAATTGTAATTTGATGTAACTCAGAAATTATACGTGAATTGGACCTAATTTGTTGATTCAAATATCAAGAAACTCATCGCGGTTCTATAGGAATAAAAATATTGAGTTAACGCAGATGTTTAATAAAACGGTAACAATTTGGCTACGAATTGTGCAGAGAGAATGATTTTAATTATTCCAATTTCCGAAATTTTAATTAACTTTGTTGAATTTTCTCCATTACAGGAGCTGGAATTAAGAATAGAAACGCAGAAACAAACGCTGCAGGCTCGTGATGAGAGTATCAAGAAGCTCCTCGAGATGCTCCAGAACAAGGGGATGGGTGAGGCATTGCTTGCAATTTTTTAAATTAATTATTTTAACATTAATTAATTATTTTAACACTGCATTTTATAAACAAAAAACTTAATGTATCGCAAGATTAAGAGAACCATACGAAATCAAACGAAGTTAAGTAAATCAAATAAAAATAGATAGACTTAGATTTTATCTTAATGCAAAATCATGATGACATACGCGATTTTTTATCCGATTTACATTTTAGCACAATAATATGAACGAATAACAATAGCCATTTTTTAATGCTTGTCCAATTTTTAAGAATAATTGTGAACTGGAAAATCATGTAATAGGCTTAGCGTAAAAAATTTATTTCCATATTTATTCTAATAAAACATATATTACAATAAATGCAAACAAAATGTAAAATACGCGTATAAACTCTAACGCACATTGGATTAACAGATAAAGTAATGAAATAGCAAATTTTATTGAAATAGATCTTTACGTTTTCACATTAAAACTTTCAAATTTGATTTCCACGTGATTTTTCAGTCCACATTTATTTCAAACAAAAATATTGTTTTCTGCCAATGCGGATAAGCTTTTATTTAGAAATTTTCTTGCATGATTGTCATATAATTTTTCCGAATATATATTGTGCTCATAAACGACTTCATGTAGCAAATATACAATAGCGAGTGATCAGAATTTACATTTGCGAATATCTTGTTCGCAAATAAACGACGCCCAGTATCGTTCTTCTCTAACGAAGGGAAGACTCAATTTCCTGCAACGAAATTTTTCGCGCAAATGCCGTCGGTCGTTCTCGACAACGGTTCATCGAGTTATCTCGTTAAGCCACGGACCGCAATTCGCCTAAGACGAATCTGCGCTTTGAAATCGTTATTGTGATTCATACAAAAGCAAAACTCTCGTCCTGTCCTTGCCGTGAAGCTTACGGTGCATAATCCGAAAGCATGCTGCGAGAGAATTAATCTTGCAAAATAATTTTACGAAAGCAAGGATGCTTTCAAGAGTTGGGATGATGTCCTTATGAACAAAGTTTCAGTTCACGCGACACTTATTAAAGTAAATTGCCGTTTATACATGCGCTCGGGCATAAAACTGGATGCGCTGCATTGACAGTAGACGCGATTAATACAAATAAGGGGAGGGGAGAAATAAATCCTTTTAATTAATAATATTTTATTTATTGCAATGCAGATTTGTGTGTTGTACTAATCATAATATAAATAGTTAAGTATGATAGTAGCACAGAGTTGGAGAGTAATTAACAAAGATTGCGCTCGAATAAACTGTCACGATCATCTTATCAGGATCACTTATTCGTATATACAAATATACACATATACATACGTACACACAGACACACACACAGACACACATACCCACAGTTGCATCAGTCCAAAAACCTGGAACCAAACAGTTCCTCCAAGAGTTCCTCGTTACTTTCTGTTGTTCTAGGAAAAGAGGAGGAAAGGATCATGTTCCAGCAGATGCAGTCGATGGCCCAGAAGCAGGTCCTTAAGCTATTTTTATCCGTCGCCATACATACTCATAATTATAAATTTATGTATATATATGTATATATATATATGTATACATACATTATGCATCTCGTACATATATGTATATACATATATATGTGTGTCACTCTCATTTCGATCGACGCTCATTACGCATTTTCGATACGCATATGTGTATACACGCATTGCCATTAATAATCTGCCTATTTTGATCGGTCCACTTTACGTGTATACACGTATGCGCTAACATTAATCGCTGCCCATCGTTCTGTACGAGTAGTTGCTTGCAAGTAGCTTGCAGTTATTGCACCGCCAGTGGCTTTACTTTTTGCCCCGTGTGCCGTGCTCACGCTTGAACTTCTGTGTCACCTGAGATCTGAGAAAAGAAAAAAGAGAGAGAGAGGAACAAAACGGACGAAAGAGAAAACGAGACAGGCGAACGCCAGGGGGTGAGCGGAGTTTGGCCCTTATCTTTGCATGGGGCGGCCCACTCTCGATTCAGGGACCACAACAGGGTATTGCGAGCCCACCCCGCCTGCCTGTCGTGTGACTCTACTCTCGATCGTTGCCCCGCAAAATCGATTGGGCTCTCGCGAGCGACGGAACGGTTATCCGTTCTGTGTTCCGCAATACAGGCGAGATTAAGGTACGGTATGCACATGCGAGATCGGGGGACTGCGATAGGCAATTGCCGGTCGATGCTTCGGTCAAGAGGCGCGGAAAATCCGCAGATCGAAAAATTTGCAGCTGCGACAACGTGGAGGATCTGGTCATCCGGGGATCCGATTAAAATACGATCTGAGGATCTCGGGATTCGCGGATGTGTCCCTAATATTGAACGGTACAGAGCTTCCAGAACTCCAAAATCTCGATAAAAGTCTGAAAGAAATTGAAACAAAATATTCTACTACAAATTTTAAGAAACGGGTGAGAATACATGAAACATTAAAATAGAAATGAAAGCATCCGAGAATCCGATGATTTCGATAGTTGAAGAATTCGTGTACTTTACAAAGATTTCGACAACTCAGGAATTTTCGTTCGAGGCTTTGAAGTGGTGTAATATCTCTCCTCATGCAGGTCGTAATAATTGTGCGCCATATCCTGAAAAAAGTTTCTTGCTTTGTTACAATTGAAACTGGGATATTATTTGAATTAGAATTTAACTCAGCAGCGGTGGTCCGTTTCATCAAGTAATTTTCTGCAATTATTTATAATAATGAAAATCCGTGCAAAATGTTGGGAAATGCGCGCTTAATGAATAGAAAAGAGAATTCAACTTCGGCGTACGTTACATTCATCTAGGATGCGACTCTCTTTTTGTGACGTGACTTGTGCAATCGGCGCTGCTCGCAATCAAAATATTTCGGTGCGTTTCGAACCAGCTCGCGATGTTCTATTTATTCCGGTTTGACAGCGTTTCTCCCTGTAGAGAAGGAAAATCGAATCAGAGGTGGAAAATCGACGGGGATTCACGCCGCCACTCAGCGACTTTACACATTTACATGTACACGTACCATATACAGACACACACGCACACGTCTTCCAGCACACGCGCATATTCGCATCCATGTCGCGTTCAGCGTGCACGCAAAATCGCGGGTTTACTCTCTCGCAGGTGTTTTGTACGCGCACTTTCCTTCGCGCAAGAGTTTTCAAAAATTCACGCCTACAAACGCGACTTTATCGCTCCTCTGTACCTTTGTCGCGCGCAAGGATTGCGGAAATCTCCGAGGAATACGCCGAGAATGTGTCAGAAGGAGTTTGTCAAGTCATCGCTTTTTTGCGAGTATTGCTTTACCGTCTGGTTCAATTTTATGGAATTTTCGATACCCTACGGCGCCACGCGTGCATTTCCAACATGCCGTAAACTTATATTACAGATGTAAAGTTCGCGTCGACAGAGAATCTCTGTCGCCGGATGATGCCAAAAGGGCATTTAGCACTTTACCGCGATCGAGATTATAAAGAGATCGTATAGTTTCGCGACAAAACTTGTACTACGATCGCATTAATCTGTCTGCTAAAAAGTCGTCCCGTGTCACATTTGGATATTTCAAGTAAATACTGTTCGCTTCACGCTTGAAAATTTGCGCACGTTTGCGACGTATATTTGCGTCGATTCTCCGTGGACAAGATCGCCGGGAGAATTACTCGCGTTAAGTCCGAATGGCACAGAAACCCGTGAATTTTTGAAGCGTCAACATCCCTCCATCGCTTTCTCTCACTCAGCAACTGTCGCTGCTCCGCTGTACTGTCACATAGCGAAATGAGCATATTTAGATTGTTAGTCTCATAAAAGAGTTTCTGAGCACCTGAGCACTGCCATCAGCGTGAACACATCGCCGTCACCATGTCCGCTCTGCCTTTCATGCAATCCGTGTTAGATGGTCTTTAGAGCAGACCTAGACCATGTACCTCCCGTGATACGTTCTCGCGTTTACAGTGCCCACCCTTCGTTTATAGCCCGTTCTCGGTACACGGAATGCGAAGTCGTTCGGAAAAGCCGCTATTATTTCGCCTGTCTTTTTTTTTACGGTTCTCCGTCTACGGGGAACACCGTCGACTATAGTGTCATTTGGCGACTATGTTTCGCCCGTTGCAGCCGACGAGCTTGTTTCTTCCGCGCTTTTCGACCCACTTTTGCCGCGTTCACGTTCCCATTCAGTCATGGCTTCACCTCACACGCGCCGCTTTTCGCCCGCGTATTTCTTTGCAAGATTACATATCCCCTGTTGTTCCGCCGCAGCTTTGCTGCATTTGCATTTTCGCAAACGCGCCTAAAATATTAGCGAGCGAAGTTTCGTCAGAGAAAATCGTTCAGAAGTTATCTGTTACTCCATTCGATCGAACGATCAAATTTTTCGCGCGCTAAATCTTAATTTTACCTACAATCGTGAATTCATTTCCGTAAATGTCTGCGAAATTTAGCACCACGCGAATCAGCGTTTCATTTAAAAATTAATGATTCCTTTGAAACCAAAGGAAGATAAAGGTATAGTACACGTTGATAAAGTGTACATTGCTTCATATCGCGGTCAGTTATTATATATAACGTTTTTCACGAACAACGTCGCATTCGCTGTCTCGCTCGGTCTCCTTGCACTCTCGTGTTCATGCCTGTTAGACTTAGGACTTAGACGGAGTCTATGTAGCTTAAGTGGCACTCGAAGTCGAAAGTGATTCGACAGAACGAAAAAAATTGACAGACCCGTGGCACTTGATCCGTGCAGTTTCAAACACGAATTGAACGGAGCAAGCACGTCAACATTGCCCACCAACAGCACGAAAAATCTTTCACTCCCTCCTCGTTCTTTCTTTCTCTCATTCTGTCACCGAAAGCAAAAAATTTATATCGCACAATGTTAACCTTCACTTGTTCTCTCCTCTTCCTCTGAAAACTACTTTGAGCAAACTCTTGAGCGATCAGCTGCACCAGCACCAAAGCCTGTCTCGTTATTCATTGTGACAACTTAGCAGCACGAGCATTGTATCATGTTATCACCAATCCAGGGCCGTGTACCCTCAACCCCTAGTCCAGTTCGTCTCAACCAATCCCTTGAAATCCTTCGACAAGTGTTCTATGCCGTGATTAAAATCGATACAGTTTCGACAAGTTCGAAAAGTTGACGCTAGAGACACGCGATTTGCTTGGCGACGATTGAAACGACGACAATTGCTTTGCATTATTTTATATTGAAATCGGTGTTTGTAGCATCGACGTTCGAATTTGTTGAAATTACAGTGATTTTAATCACTGGCTTCAATCTCTTAATTACCTGCTTTCGGACAAAATGCGCGCGAGCGAAATACAGATGTTATCTCGTGATTCTCGGCCAAGAATACGCCAAATTCCCGGTGACGAATTAACGCCACGAGCGTGTAGAAGACGTTTCCCGATTAGCTCGAGGAAGAAGGGCGCACATTCGACGCCGAGGGGGAAACCACTCGGTCCAATTTCCTCTCTTTTCACGACAAATTTCTCCGGGTATAAGCCGATCTCGACGCGACAGGCGCGCGGGCGCGCGCAGCAATTAATAGCTGCAATCTCGTTGCACGTAATTAATTGCCGTAATTCAGGCGAAGTCTTCGAAGTAATGTACTTTGAGTATCATTCAAGAAACAAAAGGAAATTAAGTTTTTGAACTGGGAAAGAGGGAAGTTATTAAAATGCCTATAATAAAAGTATGTCTGTCATATGCATATATGCATTAAATTGTCTGAAGCTGTCAGTTCTATATATAACAAACTTATTTTTACATATACTCGTATTTATATATTAGTCTGCTTTTGTGTTTCCCACTGCATATTTCACATTAATATGCAATTAATATAAGCTCATATAAAATAACGTAATTTATGTAATTTATAAGTTTACGTAATTTCGATGTCATAAAAATTTTTCACCGTAAAGCAGGTAACTAAAGATACGATGAAGAAGCGGATTCGTAGAAATGAAAATACGAGTTTTTAAAAAGTATGTAACGGCCATGTGAATAGAGAAACAGGAACACGTAGTCCTGTTTCGCCAAATTACAACTCTACGTGAAGCCACGTGTTTTCCTCTACCTTTCTCTTTGCACCCTACATGTTGAACAATTCAAGAACGATTCGTCCACGATGCCTTTATTCGATGACCTCGGTCAAAATGAGATAATTTATCAGCTCGTACACAACATTACGAACCATCATGCACATATATATTCTGCAAAACACAAGAACTCTATTCTCGGAATGGGTTCTGCATTCGCGGTGCATAATGACGGTAAATTTGTTCCATTAATCTAATTCGATAGATCGGATATTAGATGAATCATCCAATTAAACGATACGTCACCGAATCAGCTAGTCATGGGACGAATCGTCCGCCGCTACCATTATTGTCCGAACACGATCGAACATAAAGACGTCGACGAGAAAGCAGACGGCCGATCGCAGGAAATGAAGGAACGAACAGCGCGTGGAAAATAAATTCGGGAGAAAATATTGGAAGT